ACTATAGTCGAGGACGATTTTGGGTATTAACTCATATTTAATTGTACAATGTAACCACTAACCAGATACATCAGGATTATATATATTAAATATTATCGGTACTAATTTTAATCAACATCATAAAAAAAAATAAAATCTCTATATTCTTAATTTGAAAAATGACACATTTCGTCGCTCAATTATATCTAGCAGAATTACGTTGCCTTTTGTCTCTCATGTGTTTGCAACATAACTTTTTTTTTCTTCCATAAATTAAATTCTGTTAGGATTGGTTTAAAAATAAAAATCATTTTACAAACATTTGAAGAACAAAGAAAGGCACTTCATTGGGATTACTCTAAAGCCTTGTTCTAGCGGCAATGTGGGGTATGAATCCCACTGAAAATGGGAGGTTATTGGGAAACTTTGACGGATCGGAGGTGATGAAGACCCTTTATGCGCAGAGTGCATAGACAAGGGATGTGGGGAACATGAAGACTAACGAGGCGACTTGTGATTTACCTCATTTAGGGACTCTTGGATAGTGATTTGGGGAGCTTAGGATTAGTCTGATGTAAGTTGTAACCTAATGTATTAAAAAAAAAAAAAAAAGGCCGTTACTTCATTGACAAATGACAATTGAAGAATGAAAGCTGATAATGATATAATAAAAGAGATTAAATATATATGTTATTTTTTAAAAATAATTTATGGACAAAACTCACAAAAGTCATTAATTTTCCTTTTAAATTTCAATTTCTCTAAATTTATTTGAAAGTGCGTTGAGGGACCCATTGTTGATTTAGTTGGATCCATAGAAACGCATTTAACCAATCTTCTCAACAATATAATTATCAACCTCTCAGGCATGGGCGCATGACAATGCAATTATTATTGTGTGGACCATGGTCCACATACATATTTTGTATATCATAAAATAATGTACATTCAGTACAAAAATAATGTACATTTAATACAAAAATAATGTACATTGTATTCAGGAGATGTACATTATTTTTATACTAAGTATACATTATATTATATAATGTACATTCAGTACAAAAATAATGTACATTTAGTATATTAAAAATGTATTTTTTGTTATGGTCCACTTAACACTGTGTGAACCATGGTCCACACAATAATTTGCCATGACAATGTTGTGCGTCTCTATCACACACATATTAATGTACAGAGCCTCTTTTTTTTTTTTTTTTCTTTTTTAATTAGATATCCTAGTTTTGTTGGAGTAATGATGAAGAGGTAAATCAAGTCTGTTTAACATTGAGACCTGCATTCAACTATACACTTCTATTTAGGGGTGGGCAATTCGATTCGGTTTATCCAAATCGAATCGATCCGAACTAGTAATATATATATCGAAAAATCGAATGGTTCGGAATTCTTGTAAATCAAATGGTTCTGTTAAAAACACAAGCGAGCCAAACGATTTGGTAAATACTGAACCGAACCGAATACATTTTGGTTTTAATAATATACAATCTACATCTATCTACAAATCTAATAAGAGCCAATAATGTTAGGCCCTTAACTGGAACAAAAAAATGTCGGTAGTAATTGTTTCTTAAATTGAATGGTTCATATTATTTTGATTTTAGTATTTTTTTAATGATTTTCCTTATTTACCCTCTATTATATTATTTTCTTCCCTTAAATAACCCTGAATTCCGTTAGTATAAACTTTAGTAATAGAATATTCCGTTAACTATTTATTATTCTTAACCTACTCATCATTAATTTATATAAGAAAGGTCTTAAGTTCGAACCTCATCACAATTAGAGTTGGCATAATTGTTAAACATATATTATGACATAAACTTTGGTTAAATAATTAGCCCGACTAAATACATAACATGCATTCAAAGTTGAGCATTAAAGATTATAAATCAGGAACTTTAAAAATCATTTGATTTTCATTTTTTAAAAACAAATTTAGGTTACGTTTTTTTTATACGTTTAATTAATCTTCTTTTGATTATTTAGAATAAAACTTAATATTTCAATTATGTTTTTGCATTATTGGAATGATTTACGTCATTATGGTATTAATATTTTTTTGTATTTTTTTTATAATGGTACAATTGTACATTACTTTACAAATATTATACTATTATTTTTTTTATCGTACAAAATTGTTCTTACATTATTGTCAGACCTGCGCGGTCTAACTACAAAGTTGTTGATCATAAATACAATTACACAGGGACTCTAAAACGGTAGGACTATTTTCTAAATAATTGACAATGTTAACATCCTACTAGCTCCAATTGAACAAGTTTACGCATCAGAATTTTATCAATGCATGAAAACTTCTAAAGAAATTTGTAAGTTAATTTTTACTATATCATTATAACAATACAATTTCATTAGTTTTATTATCTTTATTTTCTAGAATTTAAAGATTCATTACCTTAAAATTTATTAATTTTTTATATTCACTACATTGTTCATTGTCTTCTTTTTACATTATCTTGTAATTAAATATCAAGTTATAATACAAAACATGTTATATATATTTATTTACCAAGTATTTTATACAAATATAATAAATATTAATATTTTGTTCAATACTTTCACATGATAACCTACGACACACATCTCACAACACGTGAAACATGTACGGAAAAAATTACCACTATTAAATATCAATAAGTGTTTGTAAGATAAAGATCGAGTTCATATTACAACTAAAATCTCAGTCATATACACAGCAAGACAAATCTAAAGATTCCTACACCATAATCTCATTGCATGATGAATCCCTCTATGTTGCCACCAGTAACCTAATTGCACATAACACACTACCAATTAAAAAAAAAAAAAAAAAGACATGTACTGAAGACGAAAACAATGACAATCCTACCCAAAAGAGAATTAAGAAGATCATAATTAGAGAAATTTAAACTAAAAGTAGTATTTATTTCGACTATCACTTTAAGACTAAGTATTTAGACTAGCGTTATTACAAAGTTGCAAACATTTATTTTAGTGACAATTATAATCAATCTCTCATATATTATCTTGAATTTATCTACTTTAAATTACCGATTTAAATAAACGAAATCAATATTTATTTATTTATGCATAAACGTCTCCTATATAATATTGCATTGATATACTATGAAATACTTATTTAAAAAAATCATTGGCCATTATCCCATTCGCACAAAGCGCCTAAAAAAAACTAGTAATACTAATAAGAGTTAATAACCAAAATGGTCACTCGACTATGCCGTAATTACCAATTTAGTCCTCAACTACCATTCTTACCCAATTAAGTCCTCAACTATGTAATTTTTACACAATTTAATCCTCTGTTAATTTGACTATTTGTTGAATTTCAAAAGTAGAGATAAAATTATAATGAGTTAATTCCAGCAATGGTCCTCCGACTATGTTGATTTTCCACAATTGGTCCCTGACTTTTAATTTGGACAATTTAGACACTTGACTTTTAAAACATTTCCAATGTTGATCCTTCCATCAAATGAAAGTTAAGTAGACGTTAATTTGAGGGGTAAAGTAGTCATTTAGCATGCTTAGAGTATAATCCATGTATCGTCTTCCTCCCTTCGCCACATACATCAGCAAATTAAAATCCCCAAATGTCCTCCTTGTGGGGTTGAAAACTACGAGTAGGCGCAGTAGTGCAAGCGATATAATACCTCATTCATTCTCTACCAGAAAATTATATGCCATGGGAGAAAGTGGCAACGACGATGACAACTGCGGCGAGGCATTCAATCGCAGTGGTGATGAAAATTTCGATCTGTTATCTCAAGATGTTGATCGGTTTGCTGCCATTCTTTCCGGCGTTGCAAACAAATTCAGTCCGCCCGGAAATCCCGACGTCGTTGACCGACATAATTGAGTCCAAGGTCACCTCCGCGGGAGAGTGTCGGAACAGGACGGCTATGGAAGATGATGTTCCGCGTTTTATGGAAGCAGTTAAGAGGTTGGCGAAGCTGAGGGATGGATTCGCGAAGTTTCTAGACCTCACACCCTCGCTGAACCGGACCAGCACCGTCTTGCATCTGGCGATAGCGTTCTTAGAAGACGATGAGACGATGAGGAATACCCAGAGGATGTGGTGAGGAGAATGAAGATGATCGCCGGCGCCATGGTTTCGACCGGATATGAAACGGAATGCTGCCAGGTTTATTCGATTGTGCAGTGGAATTGGTTTTCCGAGCAGATGAAAATGCTCGAATTCGAGAAGTTAGTTGAATATGGAGGACGTGCAGAGAGAACTTGTTTCTTCCGTAGCTTCTTTTTTTTTTTTTTTGTTTTGAAAAGCTAGATTATGTAACAGAACAGAAAGATCAAAGATGCAGTATATTATCATCTTCCTCTTCATATCCTCTTGGCCTTCTGTTTCTGCCTTTTGTTTATTTGGGAGGATCCAGGAGAAGTTGCGCATATGCAACATAGGTACTTTAGGGGGCAAGTCATGGTAAAGTGAAGCATGGGTAATTGATCCATGTTACACTAAATACACAAAGATGAGCATAAAGCTTTAATTCAAAGTTTCCTTTCCCATGATCCACTGACAGTTGATGCAAATGCATGTAGATCACCAGCGTAAAAAGTCACAAGTACTGGGTGTCAATCAAACTCAAACATGTAAACAAAAAATGACACCATCTTACCAGGGAAGGGAAATCAACAATCATCTTACCACTGATAGTTTCTGCCTTTCTGTTAATACTACAAAATTGCAGCGCAGCTACGGGTTAACACTATGGCCACTACCTTATCAACACAATGAGCAGCAGACAGTCAATCGCTACAGCCTTGAGCAGACAAATCAGGTGTGCACTGCACTAGTGCATATATGGTGTTGAAATTTGGTGCACTTGTATTTTAGTGCAAACTTGAGAAATGGACAGCCATCAGTGGCTTCGCTTAGTAGGCGGTCCAACATGTTCCTCAAATCTTGGTTGAACTTCGCAAGCTGAGAATTGAAAGACAATGGATTATATCTAATTTGGTGAAATGACTGCTTTACCCCTCAAACTAACATTTACTTAACTTTCATCTAACGGAAGGACCAACATTGGAAAGATTTCAAAAGTCAAGTGTCTAAATTGTTCAAATTAAAAGTCAGGGACCAATTGTGGAAAATCAACATAGTCAGAGGACCATTGCTGGAATTAACTCAATTATAATTCTACAAGATTTCTCCTTCCTTTCCATTTAGCGTCGATCGACTTCCCAGTTCCGACGGTCAAGAACGGTTGTGTGGGTTGCCAATAGGGAAATCACAATTTCGGATTCTTCCAGTGGAGTTGTTGCAATTAAAGAAGATGGAAATCTTTATGTTCTGAATGGTACTGGTGCCACATGTTTCTCCACTCAATTTGATACTAGTATACTACGGCATCTTCTAAGTCTTACGTTAGGATAACAAGGATTTTTGATTCAGGTAATTTAAGATGCTGATGGAGAAAGCTAAGAAGGAGGATTCTTAACCAATTTAATGAGTGGAAAGTTCATGAGTTTCGACGATTTACGCTGTAGTAGAACTCTTTCCATTGTCTTATCCCGAAAGGTTATCCCAAAAGGTTGAACACTTTCCATTGTCTGTGTTGGTACTTTAGTTCACATCCACATCCAACACAAATGAATGAGGCATGCAGAGAGATAAGGGTTTCTTGGAGGGTGGTTGACCTCTCTCCTACGCCATTGATTTTGTTGACTCAAAGTATTTTGTCAAAGTTATGTGCAAAAAGAATTCCAGTTCTATAAAGGAATATCAGTACTAAGAGGAATAGTTATTGAAGAATACTAGTTCTAAGGGGATTTGTTGTTGAAGATTTTCTAGTTCTATTTTGATTAGGAATAGTTTGTTATTCACGAATCTGTTAGGAATAGCTACTATAAATAGGGGATGTCCTTTATTGTAGATCTCAAGCATTCAACATTAATCTTGTGAGGTACAAGAATCTTTGAGAATAGGATACTAAATTCCCCTAGAAAGTAGTACATGTGTTTAGGTTTCAATAGTTTGGTAGGAAAGATCATTCTATTGTGTAATCTCAGGTTCCAAACATTGTACTTTAAATATTGAGCTTTTAGTGGATTTAGGCAAGTTCTCAAATTGAGAAGTGCCTCGCAGATTAGGGTTGTTTGCCCGAACTGCGTTACAAATTGTTTGTGTTACAACTTCAGTTTCGGTGCTGCGCTTTACAAATTTTCAATTGGTATCAAAGCCAAACTGGTTAAATTATTAGCAGGATCCTAATGGAGTTTCCCAGAGAAGGACTGTCAAGCACCAGGCCCCCTGCTCTCTTTGGTACAAATTTCTCCTACTGAAAAGCTAGAATGAAAATCTATATTTTGGCACAAGGAGAAGGAGTTTGGGAATTCGTTGAGAAAGAATGGAAGAATCCAGTTGATGATAAAGGTAATCAAAAACCTAAAGCAGAATGGAATGAAGAAGAGCGAAGAGAATATAATTACAATTCAAAAGCAATGAATGCCATCTATGGAGCGGTAAGTGAAGATACTTTCAAACTAATCGCTACCACTGGCATAGCTAAAATTGCATGCGATATACTATGTGATCATCACGAAGGAAATACTTCTGTTAAGCATTCCAAGCTGCAAATGATACAAACACAGTTTGAGAATTTAAAAATGGAAGAAGATGAGGATATCTCACAGTTTAGTGCAAGAGTTTTAGGGATTGCTGGAGATGCGTTTAACCTAGGCGAACCTATTCCTGAACCTAGGCTCGTCAAAAAGGTCCTACGTTCCCTACCTGAGAGATTTATGATAAAGGTTACAGCCATCCAAGAAAACAAAGATCTAAACACCTACAAACTCAGTGATCTAATGGGAAATCTTCAAACATATGAGCTTGAGATACTGCAAAAAGGGAAAAATAATGACAAAGGAATTGCGCTCCAATCAAAGCAGAAAGAGAGTCCAGAAATTGATACTGAAACCATGGAACAATCAATTGCTCTCCTAACAATGAATTTCAACAGAGTTCTCAAAAAATTCAACAAATTTAGAAGCAAAAGTGCTTCAATCAATCAAGGGAACTTCCCAACTGGACAAAATCAATCTATTTCAAAAGGAAGGGAGAGTCTAAAACCTGAAGGAATTCAGTGCTACGAGTGCAAAGGGTTTGGACACATCCAGTCAGAATGTCCAACATACTTTAAAAGGAAGAACAAAACATATGTGGCAACACTAAGCGATGACTCAGATAGTGAAGAAGACACCAACACTAATTTCGTAGCATTCACCGCAAATCATGAGAATGACAACGGAAACGAAAATGATATGCAAGAACTGCTAGAGTCATATACCCAATTGCATGCTAAATGGGAACAAATCATCAATGTGAATCTAGAGCTCATGCAAGAAAATCAGTTTCTAAAAGGTGAAAAAGAGAGAGAAGAAAAGCGCCTCAAAGAAACTCAAAATGAATTATTAGAATCTAAAAACAGAGAGGCCAAACTGTTACAAGAAATCAAGGCACTAGATGGAAGGCCTAGATCTCCAAATCCAGCGTCCAGTGAAAACCACTCTTCTGAAAATCCTGAGGTGTCACAACATCACTTTCAACACCGAAGGAGAATCAGATGTTATTACTGCCACAAATTGGGACACATAAAGGCGTACTGCTTCAAAAGACAAAATGATCTCTATTACAGACAAAACAACAGAGATTGGGCAGTACAAAGCAAAAATAACAGCAATAAAGTATGGGTAAGAAAGGAACAAACACAAGCTGTTGCGTATACCTCAGAAACAAGCCAAGAACAAAGTGTTTGGTATTTTGACAGTGGATGTTCAAGACATATGACAGGAAATCCACATTATCTTGAGAATATCCAGTACAAAAATGAAGGGCATGCCACTTTTGGAGATGGGGGAAAAGGACAGATTATCGCAAGTGGTACCTTGAATGTCCATGGACTGCCCAGATTACCAAGAGTCTTTTTGGTACAAGGACTCAAAGCAAACCTTATCAGTATAAGTCAACTGTGTGATGATGAACTCAAAGTAGAATTTTCCAAAGAGAATTGTAAAGTCTACAACAAAAAACATGAATGTGTTATGATGGGGAAAAGATCCTCTGATAAAAGCTACACATGGGATGGTGATCTAACCTGTCATTAATCTACCATCAATCAAACACCACTGTGGCATCAACTAAGGGGGAGAAAGAAAGAGACCAAGGTGTTTGCCAAAAATTTGACAAAGGGGGAGAATGTTGACTCAAAGTATTTTGTCAAAGTTATGTGCAAAAAGAATTCCAGTTCTATAAAGGAATATCAGTACTAAGAGGAATAGTTATTGAAGAATACTAGTTCTAAGGGGATTTGTTGTTGAAGATTTTCTAGTTCTATTTTGATTAGGAATAGTTTGTTATTCACGAATCTGTTAGGAATAGCTACTATAAATAGGGGATGCCCTTTATTGTAGATCTCAAGCATTCAACATTAATCTTGTGAGGTACGAGAGTCTTTGAGAAAAGGATACTAAATTCCCCTAGAAAGTAGTACATGTGTTTAGGTTTCAATAGTTTGGTAGGAAATGTCATTCTATTGTGTAATCTCAGGTTCCAAACATTGTACTTTAAATATTGAGCTTTTAGTGGATTTAGGCAAGTTCTCAAATTGAGAAGTGCCTCACAGATTAGGGTTGTTTGCTCGAACTGCGTTACAAATTGTTTGTGTTACAACTTCAATTTCGGTGCTGCGCTTTACAAATTTTCAGATTTCATCTCCAAAACAATTCAACAGCCCCCTTTCATGGAATTGAAGTATGGATAATGCTATACTAACATACCCCCAAATCTCAGGGTTTAGCCCTCAGATTTCGTGGTTCTAAAGCTAACGCTCTCATTCTTTCTGAGCTTCTTTACAATTTCATCAATTTTCCCTGAAACAGCAATAACAAAAAATTAAATGAGTGGAAGTCTGAAACTATGCATAAGGCTCCAGATGCAGAGAAAGAGAAGGTTAAAGATAAAAAGAAAGAAAAAAAAAAAAGGAACAATGAAGTTTCTGATGGTAGGAACTCGAAAGCTGATCTAAATGGAGAGGAAGGAATAATTTTGTAGAAGAGAAAATTTCAATTTTGGTCCACTGATTATTGGAGTAGTGTTAATTGCAACACTTGACTTTCAAACATGTTAATTTAGTACCTTAACTATGTAATTTCTATCAATTTTAGTCACGCCGGTCAAATTGTCGGCCAAATCTCAACGAAAAAGTTTAATAGGTCAAATAATGAGGGTATTTTAATCATTTTACTCCTCTTTTCTTTTTTCTCCGATGAGCTTCCCTGCATTTCCGGTGACAATTTCTTCTCCCATGAGCTTCTCCACTTTTTTTTTTTTTTTGTTTTCTGGCTGACTATCCTGTGCGATTTTAGCTCTGGCTTTGCTAGAGGCAAAGGGAGAAGAAAAAACAACACAAATAACAAGAAGTGAGTGCCTAGCACCTTGGAAATTTCCAGAAAAACATGTTTCTGTAACTCACAAGTTCTGAAACAATCTAACAAAAATCCAAAGCAAAACAAAGAACAAAATAACAGAACAGTCAATTCATAAAACGAAGAAGAAACATATATATCTAAGCATTCATCCACGAATTCAAATAGTGGACTCCACATTCCATTTAGACTAAAAAATCAACCAGTTTTTTTCCAGTTCCGATCTAAGCCTTCGGTGTTTCAGACCCACGAGCACTGGTACGAATCTCCACCCAACATTCTTTTCGACGGCAGTTTGGCGTTTGGAGACAGCCAGGTCGCCGGAGTTTCTAGGGTTCACGAGGATGAAAATGGAGAGAAACTCATCGAAGAAAAAATTATCGCCGGAAATAGAGAGAAGCTCATCGGAGAAGAAAGAAAAGATGAGTAAAATGACTAAAATACCCTCATTATTTGACCTATTAAATTTTTCCGGTGAGATTTGGCCGGCAATTTAACCTGCGTGACCAAAATTGATAGAAATTGCATAGTCAAGGTACTAAATTAACATTTTTGAAAGTCAAATGTTGCAATTAACACAACTCCAATAGTCAGTGGACCAAAATTGAAATTTTCTCTTTTGTAGAATTACAATTTTATCCTAACTTTTGACAGTCAACTTAACAGAGAACTAAATTGGGTAAAAATTACATAGTTGAGGACTTAATTGGGTAAGAATGATAGTCGAGAACCAAATTAGTAATTACGGTATAGTCGGCGGACCATTTTGATTATTAACTCTAATAATAATAATAATAATAATAATAATAATAATAATAATAATAATAATAAAAGAAATCAATCTAAGTCCCTTGATGCCTGCTCTGTCATTCAGTTCCTATTCTCACTGGTATCTCTTTTAAATATTTTATTTCGTATTTGATTTCTTTATAGCTTGTTCTCTACTTTGCACTTTTATTGTTTGTTGCAATTGTTCTTTACCTCATAATTAGTACCTAGTAGTATGTTTGAACTTTAAATTGCTATTTTGTTATATAATGTTTAGATTTTGACTATGAATTATGTGATTATGTGAATATATGTATTGGTTGGTAGTATGTTCGGAAAATTAGAAAATGTTGGAATTTGGGGATCTTAAACCGAACCGAAATCGAACCGAACTCTAATGTTAAAGCGAATGGTTTAATTTTTTTAAAATTGAAAAACTGAAGCCGAAGAAAACCGAACCAAAGTCCAAAACGTCCACCCCTATTTCTGCCCACAAGGAGTCCAACTCTAATCCGAACTCACCTTGTCACTGGAAGCAAGCCTTAAGGGGGCGTTTGGTTCGGGTTATCTAAGATAACCAACGTTATCTTTAGCTAGTTATATAACATTCCGGGATAAAGTACAAATAAACTACTGAACTATTTGGGAACTATCAATTAAGTCATCGAACTCAAATAACCCTCAAATAAGCCATTGAACCCCGAAAAAAAAGAGCAAATAAGCCATTGAACCCGGAAAAAAGAACAAATGTTTATTTTATTTACGTTTCTTCTTATTATTATTAGTATTAAAATTATCCACTTGGATACTATTATGTTTTAATGTTTATTTTATTTACATTTCTTCTTATTATTATTAATATTAATATTATCCACTTGGATACTATTATGTTTAAAGTAATTATAATCGAGATTTGATTGATTTATTTATTATTATTTTTCAATGGATCTTCTATTTAAATAATAAAAAAAATAAATTAGTTGTAGCCAAGATAAAACAATTTTGATTATAATTACTTTAAAATATATTAGTATGTAGTGGATTATAATAAAAAACATAAATAAAATAAACATTTGGCAATCCAGTCAGTAAAAATCTGGAGTTAACCTGTTAAAAATGTCGATTGCTCTTTTTTTTCGGGGTTCAATGACTTATTTGGAGGTTATTGAGTTCGATGACTTAATTGATGTTTTCCAAATAGTTAAGTGGCTTATTTGTACTTTATCCGATCCCTAACATTCCTGTGTTTGGTTGAAGTTTTCTAACATTCCCTTGGAATCTTATTTAGCCTCCACATCAACATTTTCCTTATTTTGAAAGGAATGTGATTCCCTTGGTTTCCTTAGGTTATGTAACATTCCCTTGCTTTTTTTTACAGACTCTACCCTCCACTCTTTTACGAACTCTGCATTTGATATTTCTTGGTTTCTCTCTCGCATCGTTGAACGAAATTATTTTTGCATGGTTTACTGATTCTACAATCCTTGTTAATGTTAACTTTTCCCTTAATGAGCAATTATTTTTGCAATCTTACTGATATGATTCTCATTATGCCTAGTATAAGAATTGGTTCTTTTGTAGTGAAAGTTAATACAAATTAAAATTGAAGTGCATCACACATACTCATGAAATGCAAAATTTTTGAACTTCATATATTGAAATGCATGAAAAATGTTGAGGGTATTAAAGTAAAATAACCATTATAGCATAAAGAACAACCCTTCAACCAAACAGCTTTATATTACATATCTCAGTTTTAACCAAACACAGAATTCTAACATTCCCAGCAATCCAACATTCCCTAAGGTAATCTAACATTCTGTGAACCAAACGACCCCTAAGTGCAATATTGCAATATCCCCATTCACTAAGGCCCAGGAGGCACAATACATTTTTCTGCCCCAATAGGAGTGACTTGAGTAAATAGAACATAATTCTTATGCTAAAAGATTATTACATATATATTTTATTCTTGTTAATATTCCCTCAGTCCAGTTCGTTACACATATTTTTTTAGTGTGATTTACTTTTCATATGTGATCTCATCAGTAAATTATTACCCAATAAGAGGTGCGGATTTCCTCATCTTTTAAAATAACATTTTTCCTTCGATTCTTTTTTAAACATGGCTGATAAATTTCTTGATCCAATTAATAAAACAGTCAACATCTTGGAAATCCAGCGACCCAAAGGAGAGAAATTATTGCTGCTCCTGCTGGACCATTTAACTTTTTGATATTAGTCCATGATTGTGAATCTTGAAAACCATTC